TGGCGTCTGTTTTAGCTAGCATTTTATTAAAACTGCGGACTGAATAATATTCTGAGCAAGGGGTATTTAACATTAAATCTGGGTCGCATTCGTCGAATTTATTTGGATTAGGGAGGAGATCGTAGAAGTCAAGATCATCATGGCACCCATCCGGCCAGCTACCAACCATAGCATAAAATTCTCTATCAGTTAACCCATAAAATGGTAAAGAACTACTTACGTTTTCTTGATGATTAGCCATGTCTAGATCCATAATAGTATACATTTATAGAGGTCATTAAATTGAGCTATAGTTAATCAAGCTGATGGAGGAATTCAAGGAATTCCTCATGTGTCACAAAACATTTCGTAATTGAGCTCTCCGTTTTCTTCAGCATTATTTTACCGTTGGCCGTCCAGATAAACTTGTAGTTACGGCCGCGCTTGAATTGTAAAATTCTGCCCAGTAGTCGCTTTCTGTACGGCGTCAGGCTTTCATTGACATGAATTAGTGCTTTATGACTTACAGCCACATGAAGCCTTTACCTGGTGTCACCATTTGTAAGACTCGCGATGACGATTGTGATAAAAAATTCTTTATGAAGAAAAATTCACTTGACGTTTTACCTTGTCAACCCTTGGCAGAAGAAAAGGTACTTATTCATCAGGAGCGTATAATCTACAAAAGTGTATGCCTTTGGTTCCCTATGAAAGGGCTTTTCAACTGAGTGTAACTTGAGTAACACTCAGGTACCAGTTATTGTAATGGCCAATTAGAAAAAACGTTATTATCACAGTGCAGCCAAGTAGAACTCAAATGAAGATCAAGCAAACATCCTCAAGCTTAGGGCAGTTCTAGTGACCAACAAGTAGCAGTAGGTTTTAGTATGGCATCTTGGTGGTTGATAAGTGACAGCCATTTTCTTGATCAATCACATAGTGCGGTAAAGCAACACCAATGCAATCCTGAATTACATGTACTTTGTATACTCAACTGACAACACGGGGCCCATACAATCTGTTTGTGTAGCTGACTGTTGTTTTATCGTGAATGCACCAGATTTACCGTTTGCCTCACCTATAGTGATATATTACTGACTATGTACATAAATCATTGATAAATAAATGTTGAATTACTTTACCTGTGGTGTATAGTTGTCCTTTTGCCTCAAAAATGTTTTTTTTTAGTGATTTTGAATAAGTCTGAGTTTCAATTTTCTTGTGCGGGATGTAATTCCCGTTATATTGGCGAAACTAGTTGCCACTTCTCTACTAGGATAAAGGAGCACACGGAAAGCAATAAAAACTCGCATATTTTTTGCATTTTAACACATCTCCTTCTTGTATGAACACATACTCCCTTTCTTGCTTTAGTATTCTGGATTCTGCCAACAACTCAATTGATTTAAAACTCAAAGAAGCTTTTTATATAAATAAGATCAAACCTGAACTTAAGAAACAATTACAGCATTATAACACTTTTCTAGCATTTTAGTTCACACCTTTAATTTCATGTTTGTTGTCATGCTGTAATTAGTACCCACTTTTGTATAACATCATACTGTAAATATTATATTCATCTACTTGTCTGTTATATAATTACTCACATTTAGTTACTCATTAATTGAAGATGGCATAAGCATGCCGAAACATGTCTCTAAAAAAAGTTGTATATTTCTTACAAAAGTCAGAGTTTGTCGTTAATGTAATGCATAAAAGAAATACAAGGGTGGAAGCCTTGTTTTGAAAGAGTTCAAGTGCCCGAGCGATTTTCCCCCCCAAAATCGCATCACTCTGCTTTCAAACTTCGCAGCATTAACATCAAAAGATGCACGATTCTCCTCGTACCTTCCAATTGAAAATCCATCCAAACAGACCGGAGCTAGCCCTCAAAGAAAATCAAAACCCCACAGTATTCGAGCGCCTGGGACGTGTAGCAAGATTCTCATGTGCCAGCCAGAAACCGTCACGTCTGATTGACCAATTCAAAATAATGTCGTCCAATTTAAAATAACGTTGTCCAATTTAAAATAATGTTGTCCAATACAAAATAACGTCGTCCAATCAGAAAAGGGCAATCAGCATGACAGTTTCTGGCTGGCACATGAGAATCTTGCTACGCATCCCATGCGCTCAAATACTGTGGGATTTTTATTTTCTTTGAGGGCTAGCTCCAGTCCATTTGGATGGATTTTCGATTGGAAGGTACGAGGAGAATCGTGCATCTTTTGACCTTAATGCTGCAAAGTTTGAAAGCAGAGCAATGCGATTTTCAGGGGGAAAATCGCTTGGGTGCTTGAACCCTTTCAAAACAAGGCTTCCACCCTTGTCTTTCTTTTATTCATTACATTAATGACAAACTCAGACTTATTCAGAATCGCTAAAAAAAAACATTTTTGAGTCAAAAGGGCGACTATACACCACAGGTAAAGTAATTCAACGTTTATTTGTCAATGATTTATGTACATAGTCAGCAATATATCACTATAGGTGAGGCAAATGGTAAATCTGGTGCATTCACTATAAAACAACAGTCGTCTACACAAAAAGATTGAATGGGCCCCCTGTGCTGACAATGGCACAGACTAATGATGCTAGAGAAAGATCAAGAAGGATGTTTTTTTTTTTTCAGCCAAGTTGTCACTCAATGAACAATGTTAAAAATTTTCATGAGCATAAGACAAAGAAAAAGTTTTTACACCATTCATTAATGTTCAAACAATGATGTCCTTTGCTAAGAAATTTTCTAAAGAATGAAATACATAACAAGATCTGTTACCTACATGAACATGAAATCTTCAACATAAGAGTGTCACAATAAATTAATAATTTGATTGTTTTCTTTTGCCATGCAGTCTCAACTGAGGAATCGTCTAATAAAAGAACTACAGGAAACTGCTGGCAAGGATGAATTGGCAGAGTCACATGGTCAGTCAGAAAATACAGAGACTGTCTGTAAACTTGCTGCCAACAGTCTTGTTGCTGACCACTTGAAGAGGTGCAATTATGAATATTCTTTATCTGTCTTCATGCCAGAGAGTGGTTTACAAGAACACAAGGTAATCAAGTAAAACACATTTATTTGCTGACTTTCCACAGTATGGTATCCATGGAAAGGATTTTTTTCTTTGGCTTTCAAGGGATATGTACTAAGACGAATGTAAAGAAGAATGATTGAAGTATTTTGGGAACCTGATGTTAAAATGCACAATTATAATCAGGGAATCCGTTCATATGATTCTTATTTCTATCAAATGATGGAAAAGCATTAGCTTATGAAAGAAAGTGGTAATTCTCCCAGTGCCTCATTTATTGTTGCAATCCATTGAATGGTCTGTGCATCCAAAATAAGAAGACTTTCACTTCAGCCAATATTATCATAGGCAAAGACCTTTACTTTCTTGTGTTTCAGTTACTTACAATGCGGGATGTCCTTGTACTACTTAAGATTAGTGAAGGTTCTGAGCTCTACCAGAATATGGTATGTTCAACATACTAATGATTTCAGATATTTGTTGTGGATGTTTCAAGAATGTTCTTGAAAAATACATAAAAACTACTGCCTCTAGAATTTTGGGGTGCAGATTAAAATGGAGAATCCCTTGAGATGTACAACAAAATAAACTTGTGTCGCAGATAAAATAAGTAATAGAACTAATTTGATATTTGTTGCATCATTATAATTTTTGACAACTCAGTGGATCAGTTTATGTAATGCAAACTTTGGTTAAAGATTTTGACTAGCTTAGCCACCATATGGTTCATGTTTTGCTTCCATTTTTTGTTTTTAACCAGTTTGAATCTCATTTCCCCTTTTCATCTCATGACATTGAATATTTGTGCCAAGTGGAAGTAAAGATAAACCTGGTGTGGGAAATTTTAATGTAGAAAGAAATTAATAGTTTGAACCACAATAAACAGCAGTACTATGACTACCATGGCTATAGAACTTCGTGTAGCAAGATTTATCAATGGATATTTTATTGTTTTCCATAAGTTCACATTTATTGCTCTAGTTGACTCTTATTGTTTGGTTTCAATTTACCTAATGGTGATCAATTACTATTTTTCAGATATTAAATCAGACATGTGACACTTTAAAAAGTTGTGACTGACTACTACACATGTGTCAAGTTGTCTACATTTTTTTCATTTCTAATGCATCAGTGAAATAACTTAAGGTCCATAATAATATACACTGTATCTTTAAACTGAAGTTCTTATTTTGCAGGAAGTGCTATTGGATAAACAAGGATCATCAAACGGTAATTTGTTTTGAAATCCAAAGGGTGAAGTAAATAAATCTAGAGAGAAAATTTTCTGAGGGATACCAGAACTTGGAAAACTTCCTAGTTGGCCTCTGTTGTGGAAAAAATTATATTTGTCTAAGGAACACTTATTGCCCTCTTGTCTACCAGGTAAATTAAGCCATAAACAAGCCAAATTTCTATCCAGTCTCATAGGGGAAACTGGGTTGCTTGTTCTCCCAGCCCAGGATGTTTCATAGTCACTAAAAGTTATCCATACTCTGTTATACAAATTATTTTTTTATTTGATGCTAGTGTGTGTTGTTTTACTAGGAGTTTGTCTAGACACAGGATGACATTAATAAATACAGACTGTCCAACAAATAAATATCAGTCAATACAATGCTCCTCTACTTGTGCAGTCACTGTGATTTAACACAAGCCCTTGTTATTATGAATAAATTTGTGGGTTTTGCTGAGGATTGCTTTGCTAGCTTTCCTGCTGTTGCAAGAAGTCATAGGTATCCTCTAACAGATTATCCCAATGTGAGTTGTTTTACAGGTTTGTTGGTAGAATTGTTAAGTGCTCTGGGTGCGTCTCATTATCATGGAAAGTCTTCAAAAGCTGTTCAAGCATCTTTACAGCAACTTTCTTCAATAGGTAACTGAGTTTTAAACTCATTCAGTGATATTACCTAACATAAGTGTAGTAAGTAAGTTCACTAATAAAAACTAAATGGTAATGCTTAACAAGTGCATTGCAATCATAAAATAAAAAATAAATTTACAGTTTATATGCTTCTAAGCATTAATTTTTACAATATGAAAGAGAGAGAAACAAATACTTCAGATAAACAGAAAGTGCTTGAAAATCCCAATTGGCAGGAGGCAGACCAGGTGGCTATTTACACAAATGCCGCAGCCAAGAAGTTGAACTCAGGGTGACTGAGAACACATCCAGTGAGTGGCAGGGTGGAGGGTTTGAACCTGGGGCCACCAGTGCCCTTTCCCTTTAACCACTCAGCCAGGCCACCTCCTCTGTTATACAACAACAGTGCTGCAACAACAGTGCAGCAACAACGGTTTTACAACAACAGTGCTGCTAAACTCGACGTCTTAATTCTCACTGAGACGTTCGGATCAAGTAAAATTCCAGACAGCTATTACATGATACCTGGCTACACATTACACAGAAAAGATCGAATCGGGAAGAAAGGTGGCGGCATAATTGCGTATGTAAATGAGAAAGTTATGGCTTCACGTCGAAGAGATTTGGAACTGGATGATCTTGAAACTCTCTGGCTTCAAATTTGTCCTCATAAATCAAAGAGACCGATTTTGATATCTGGTGTTTACCGTCCACCTTCAGCCAACAAAGATTATAATGAGAGCTTGGGTAAAAATATTGAAAATGCCCATCTCCAAAACAATGAATTGATTATTCTGGGAGACTTCAATTTGGATTATATTGATTTCAACTGTTATTCAAAACATTGTCTCGCAAAGGCACTGAACAGTCTTGGATTAACGCAGATGGTAAATGGGGTAANCAAATAACTCCTAGTGAGGTTAACGATTATCTTCTAAGTATACCTACACACAAAGCCACGGGAATCGATGGGCTTGGTGCCAGAGTTCTAAGGATTGCAGCTCCTGAAATATCATGCTCCATAGCTAAAATTATAAATCACTGTATTGAAACTTGTACATTTCCCTCACAATGGAAAATAGCAAAGGTTAAACCTCTATTCAAGAATCAAGGAAACAAGCAAGATATTCAAAACTATCGTCCTATTAGTATTTTGCCTATTCTTTCTAAAGTCTTTGAAAGACACATCTTCAATGCTGTGAACACCTACTTAACAGAAAATTCACTTTTATACCGCTTCCAATCAGGGTTCCGTAAAAACCACTCCACGGATACTGCTTTGTTGTTTCTTCTGGACCAAGTCCTTCTTGACCTTGATAAGAACAATGTCAGCGGCTTAGTTTTTGTGGACTATAGCAAGGCATTCGACTTGATCAATCATGACATTCTCCTGGTAAAGTTAAGATCATATGGATTTCCAGATAATGTTGTAAAGCTATTGCAGAGCTATCTACTCAATCGCAAACAGTGTGTTACTGTAAATAACTCGACTTCGTCACAACTTATGCTAACCAATGGAGTTCCTCAAGGTAGCATATTAGGACCTCTACTATTTTTAATGTTCGTCAATGATCTTCCCGAAGCTGTTGGATCGGACTCAATTCATGCCTACGCGGATGACACCACATTTAAAGCCAGCGCTAATATCGATAATGCACCTTTGGAATTGGAACGACGTCTTCAAGAATACATGGATAAATTAAGTAAATGGTCTAGCGAAAATGGGATGGTCCTAAACGCCGTTAAAACCAAAGCATTACTTATCACCGGAAAGAGGCTACATTCATCATTAGTTGATGGCAATCACCTGTCAGTGACCCTTGATGGGGCCGAAATAGAACAAGTAACCTCTTATAAATTGCTTGGTGTAACACTCGATCAAGATCTTACATTTAGTGACCACATTTCTAGCCTAAAGGCCAAGCTTTCTCAGCGTATTGGTTTATTGAAAAAGATAAAGAGATACCTTCCAATAAAAGAAAGACTCTTATACTATAACGCCTTGATTAAACCCGTCCTTATGTACGGGAGCATGGTTTGGAATATCTGCGACGTTAAAGAACTCCACTGTCTCCTAAGGTTACAGAAAAGGGCTGCCCGAGTAATTCTTGGAGTGGACTCTTATTCTAGAAGTGTTGTAAACTTTAGTAAACTAGGCTGGTTGCCTTTTTTTGATGAAATCAAACTAAATAAGTGTACAATGATTTTTAAGAGCCTTAAAGGCGATGTTCCGATTTACATCAGAGACTTGCTCAAGACGAACAGTTCTGTACACAATAGGTCTACTAGACATGGCAATTTAAATTTAGTGTGTCCCAAATACCTAAGAAATAACGATGGTGGCAAGGCATTCAGTGTTGACGCAGTTAAGTTATGGAACAGCCTTCCCCATGATATCAAAAATAAGCCTAGTATAAAACTATTCAAAACAGCTGTGAAAAAGCATTTTATAAGCTCATATAAAAACCTGGACAACTTTGAAACAATATTAAGCAATAGCACATTATCTAATTTTAATTTTTTATAAATTAATTTTATCTTTCTGAATATGTTTAATATATCCTGCTATTTCTATCATAAAATTTTGTAATTATTTATATATTTATTTATTTATCAGTCTTTTGTAATGCTGTATAATCTAGTTAGAGGGCCACAGGTTTGTCAGCTTTTCAGCTGTTACGTGTCCCCCTCTATAAATAAAGTCCTTACTTACTTACTTACTTACTAGTACAATTGTTACTTACAGTGGTGGCATTGCCTGCAACAGTAGTACAGCTCACATTGCTAACATTACTCATGATTCACACATAATGGTATTTAAAGATAGAAGCACAGCTATCTTAAGAAAAAATCATTACACTGCTATATGCTCATAAAATAGTACATAAGCACAATGCACTTACAGGAGAAACATCGGGAAGCAAATCATTGCTCCTATCTTTAACTTTTTGCCTCCACAGAGGATAAACTGCAAAGTGTGGAAAGAGAGTACCTCAAAAATCTACAGACAGAAAATCAGAAGTGGAGTTCCCAGACAGAAAAGCGTCTGCTTGGATTACACAAACAGTGGGAACAGGACAAGAAAAAGCTGGTTGAGGAGGAGGTACAGTTTGTATTATATGTCATTCCACAACTCTCTGACTGTTCAAACACTATTTTCTTCCAACAACAAATTTACTCTCAAAATGGCAAATTCACTCTGGAGTCCACAAAAAGCGCAAGAAAAATGTGGGAGTATAATTATGGAATAATGAACAACCCACACTGAGTGCTGGTTAGCAAACAACACAGTTTGTAGTAACGCACCCAGTGAAATAAATTTAAGGTTAGGGTTCTGATTTATTTGTTTAGTTTTCAAGAAGTACCCAAACTGAGTGAGAAATTAAACTATATGTGAATTGCTAATGATAATTTGTCACAACCGGAAGTCAATGTACTTTGCCATTTTGTTACAAACCTGAGACGGATCAATAGTGTGGTCCAGCTGGTAGCCTCGAACGACTGGTTTATTTTGTGTGGCACAATAACCCACGAGATTCGTTTATGTTTTCTTTGTTTTGACTTTCTTCTGCTGCTTTTGCTTCTTCATCGCCGACATCTTTGTCCAAAAGTTGAGAATATTTTAAGTCCACTCCACGCACCCTTTTTTCCTTGCGCGAGATCAAAGCGGGAAATCCCGAGCGGGCAAGAAGAGCCCATCTTGCCAGCTCGGGTGGCCAATCAGAACACAGAATTCGCTTAATAGTGCCCACGGGCGCCGCCAGCTATTTAACAATTTGACTAATAATTATGTTCTCTTTATGCTGATTTATACTGGTCTTTGTTAAACATGGTTAGCTTGGGTACATAAGAGCAACAGAACTAGCCCGTGTAAGGCTTGAGGAGAAGGAAAAATATCAAAGAGAAGTCCTAACTATTAGGAAACAGGTACGTCCACGCTTTATTGAAATCAAGGTTTGTCGCAATATACCTGTAATGCAGTGGTTACAGCATCACCACAGTCTTCACCTGATCGAGAGCACATGATTTCCCTTGTCTCCTACTAAGTTGCGAAACCAATTGAATATTGCCAAACCAGAAAATCGTGGGACTCTGCTAAATATTGGAAAGGAGATAAAGAAAAAGTTGGAACTAGTCGCCAAGATCAACAAAGAGCCGTTGTTGCAGCTCATCAGATTGCCCCGTTTGCAAAAAAATGTAGATTATTCATGTTCAAAACTCCTTATTTAAAGCTCATAAAGCCCACGATACCTGGATAAAGCTATTAGATTGAGTACCAGTACACTGAAATATCTCCAACGCCTGTGTTTGCGTGACAACTTTAATAGCTCAGTTTAATTAATAACGGTAATTTTGTTTTTCTTTAGCTTGAGGAAAAATATGCAGCCAAGGCGGAGAAATTAAAAGCAGATGAAAGAGAAAAGTTACAGTCACTGAGCACTCAACAACAGGTGCGGACTCGGCTGGCGTGTGTACAACCTTGTTGGCACCCTGTTAAACATCATAATCATAATCCATTTGGAGGTTGCAAGATTCAGTGTTCTTTTCGGACATACTCCTATGCGCTTCGCGCCATCTGACTTTGAATTGCAGGATTTAAACTCCAAAGAGGAATCATCGTATTGGGTGGCAACGGGGATGTAAAGACGTTAACCTATTCATGGACGATTGTGTTTTCCTCCCACTAACATTTTGTTGCAAGGTTTTTTTTTAACATCTCATCGTGCCTAAAGTATGTAGGCTTATTTCTAATCTGCAAAATTGCAACTCTCTTCTATGTTACTTTGTCGTGTTTCTTTTTAATTCCTTAGCTTCAGGAAGAAGAAGCACATATGCAACGACAGAAACTCCTGGAAGATATGTTGTCTCTCAAACAGCGGGAAACTGAGTTTGATTTAAATCAGGAAATGAAAGCGAAGTAAGTAGTAGTTGTGTCGAGTAGTCCCAACAGTTGTTGTGCCCGAATCTACATTCAGTTGTAGGTTGATGACCTTTTGATGTATTTTAAGGAAACTTCTAAATCCCCACTTTAAAAATTGTAATATTTTGCATGAGTACTTCCTCATTTAATCTTTACTTAGCAGTTCTGTAAAACGATCATTTCAATCATTGTGTCTTTTTTTTAAACCAGTTTTAGATGATCATGAACAAATACAGCTAAAACTAACTTGGTTCTCTTTTCCGCCCCAGGACATTAAAGCTCGAAGAAGAGAGGATAAATGTTTTATCACAAGAACTAAAAATCAAGAAATCCCTTTTAGAAGATGCAGAGGCCAACTATAATAGAAGACTTAATGAAGAAGTACAGAGGTGACGTGATAACTGTGCTCTATTCTTATTATTTCTTCATACCTTGATTTATATAAAGTTTATTTCATAAGAATGAATGGCGCGGAGGTAGTTAGTAGGCTAAGATGTTGAAACATAGAATAACGACAACGGACTGGCAGAAGTTGTGACCCAAGGTGGTGAGCTCTGTAAAATGTACAAACTGGATCACATGGAAACACTCGCCGTTGCGAAGAAACACACACTTTTCTCACTTAACGTAACTTGGATTTTTTGCTGCTCTCTTGCATGGTCGCAAAGACTGCGACCATTCAATAATACATGTCAGGTAAATAAGAGGTAGAGGTATCTTAATTCGCAACTCCAGCGGCCGTAACTTTTGACTATAATACTGACCGCGTAAACCTGATGCTTGATGAAAGGTTTTTGAGCTGGAATTTATTTAATGATGTCAAATATCTTGTTAAGGCGCATGTTTTACTCCTATCACCGAGACTAGACGAACGTCAACACAGCATTTTTCTGTGGTGATAGTTGTAGTGTACTCAGAGGTTTTTAATATACCATGTTGTAAGTGACTCTTATCAGCTTAATTGAGTGTTTTTATTCCAAAAGTGGCCTTCTCATTACACAGAGGTTTGGCAAATCCGCGGAACTTAACAGACCCAAAGCCATATTTAAAAATCAATATTTAAAACATAGAGAAGCAGCTTTTGGCAACTTAACCCTACTAAGTTTATTGTATAGTTTTCAGAACTTTAAGTTAAGTTGCCGGGACCTTCGTTAAGAGAAAAGCTAAGAAACCTCAATATTAAAAACGGTTGTCAATTTCGAGGAAAGTAAATTTTTCTGTTTTTAGTCAGTTAAGTAGTTTCATTTCTCAAATGTTTTTTTGGTGGTCGCACGGTTTCAATTCCAAATGAACTGACAACCAAAGCGCTGCTTTCATCCGCGCGCCGTCCACATTGTACAAATACGAGGTGTTTTTTCATAACATTTATATGTAGTAAGATCGCGAGAACAAAATTTGAAACCGTTGATTCCTGCACCTCATGCCTAGTGTGCCTTTCATGTTTTTCAGGTACAAATTAAAATGTGAAGAAGAATTTCACGACAGAAGACAAACTTTAGAGCTTAAAGAAAAACAGCTGCAACGTAAGTTCATTCCAACAAGGCGATGATGTAGTTATGTATTTGAAGTTGAGTAACTGTTGTTGTTTGTAGTTTCAGAAACAAAAGTAATACCTTACTGATTCGGTGGGATTGTTAGAGTTTAGTCGGACTTTGTAAGAGAACCAGTTAGTCTAATTAGTGATGGAGTGTCTGATATCCGCAGTTTTGCTGCTCAGTTTACTGAGTGACCAAAGGGAGCACTTCACGGTTTTGCGTGTTTTAAGAATAAAATCAATTGAATATAAGGTCATCTGCTAGCTCAGTAAACCACCGAGCTTTCGTTTATTCTTTCCCTTTTAGCGTTTTTCTACTTAGACATTTTTTCTCGCGATAAAATATCTTAATATCGTGAACAGGTGACCTTTAAATAAGTAATTGGAGACTCGTTTCCGTAGAACACCACTGGCCGGAACCGAAATATAGCTAACTAGTCGCCATGGTTTTGTGACCTACAGTACAATCACACTAAGATTTAGTTTTTCGTTTCAGCCCAGAAGTGTGAAAAATCTATATATAGCTATTGAAAAGTTCCTGTCACTTGATTTGTGACACATAGTTATACCTGTTATTAATGATAAGCGGCACCGTATTCATTGGTCACCCTGTAGAAAGCAGTCGGTTGTCCCGAATTTGTTTCCCCTCATCTCTATTAAGTCCCAATGGCCTGTTTGTGTTGTTTCCACCTGTATCAAACGGTCACTTGAAGTGGAACCACTCAAACAAAACTAGGAATAATCTTTCAAGTAACTGTTAATCCCTGTTTCTCTCCCAGTATCAAAGTAAGTAGTATTTTTGAGCGAGATTCTGCACATTGATTTGTCAGTTATGGCATAAAGTGGCAGTGTGTATCGTTTTTTTGGTAATACCCCTAATCTGTGGAATCTGCATTAAGCGGTCATTTCAAATTAAACATTTGATTTTAACCGAGTGATAATAACTTGCTGTTCACAGGAGATTTGGATGATTTTGAGAGGAAGCAAGGTGTTTATATAAACGCCTCTGATGAACTGCAAAGAACCAAAGAAAAATTAAGAGAATTGCAGGTGTGTTGGATGTACAAAGCAAAATATGGGGAGGGATAAAATAACAAATAAAGAAAACAGCTGATGTTGATGTCCAGTAAAGACGAACAGCCAATTTACTCTACTTTGATATTTGTTTAATTTACATGTACGTACTGGTAATGGCATTGATGCAGAAGTTGTTGACCAGTAGGAGACGTAGGATATTTTGATTGTTACAGTTCAACTCAAAGGATGTTTTGCCATTTACTTTCCTTTGCTGGTTACAGCTTCACTTTACGAACATCTTGCCCTTTCTTCTTGTGTAAATGAATTTTTATTCAAGTTTGTCGAAGCGCTAGCTTCCACAAAAGCTTTGCTACATATTTAAAAACTGCTCTATTTCTTCCGCAGATTCAACTTAATAATAACAAGTCACAACTTTCTTTAGCTCTCCAGAAAAAGGAAACAATGACTGAAAAACTCAGCGAGGTTAGTGACTTGAGGAAAATCTTTGAACAAAGTGGTTTTTTTTCGCCTTAGATAACTAACTCTTTCTGTTGAAAATATCAAAAGAAAACGTAAACTTTATTTGAAAAAGGACGTTGAGGCGATCAAGGAAAGGGAGGATGCTCTTGCTAAGGAGAATGCAATGTTGAAAAGGTGAGACAGGTTTGACTCAGTTCTATTGGTCTTTACCACCTGAACAAAAGGTAAGACAAGTTTGACTCAGTTCTATTGGTCTTTATCACCTGAACAAAAGGTAAGACAGGTTTGACTCAGTTCTATTGGTCTTTATCACCTGAACAATTTTGATATGACCAAATTGATCGACTGACATATCAATGAAATAATCCGGTTTTCTCATTCTGACTGCTACAATGCAGCACATGGAGGACCTTGATTAAGCTTTCTCCAAATGATATCCCGTTTAATTGGAAAATTTTTTGAGAAGTAACGCACTGAGATTATGCACTGAATATGACTAACTTAATTCATATACGCAGTGCCTCTGTTCAGTGAGGCCAACTTGTTACAAACTGAATCATTCTTATTTCACCTTTCGCAGAAACTTGTTAAGATATGAAGAAGAAGAGAAAGGTAGAGTTTTTTCTGTTCAGTTGGGTATTATTTTTTAGCGAAAAAGTGTTAATGGTTTTTTCGTGTTCATTTTGGGTATTCTTTCAGTGAGAAAGTCTTAATGGTTAATGTGTATCACACATTTATTATTTAACTCTCCCAGAAAACCAAAGAATAGTCAGTGAATTGAGAAAAAAATCAGTGGAGTCTGCTGCAGACTTGGTATGACCTACATTTGTTATAAAGTTATTTCATTTATCTATATGAAAGGTCAAGAGACCATATGAGAACAATTAATACAGTTTCTGGTATTTTGCCAATTATACCTGGGCTAATTCTCTATTATTTTGACAGCTACATCTGCGAGATCAGTTAAGTCAAATGGAGAAAACCACCAAGTCTAAGGAAAAGTCTTGGAAAGATTATAAAACAAAGATGGAATCCAAACTGGATGAGGAGGTATAGCTGTAGCATTACTGGTGGTACATAGTATGTCTTGTAAAACAAAACTTAGTTCTTCTCTCTTCTTTTGCTGTTCTGTTTATTATAATCGTGGTCAGGAATGCTATCAGCCCATATAATAATAATAATAATAATAATAATAATTATAATAATAATAAATGTAATAATAATCTTTATTTAGCAATAATTTCCATAAAATCCTCTACAATACAAAATATTAACAGCGTTAAAAACGATCTAGAAAACTATAAATAACGGAGTCAAATCTGTACAGATTCAAAGTCTAATAATCTGATAAGTAAAAGCATGTCTAAAACTATACAGAAAAGGGAAAGGTGAATGGCAAATCTAGAACCCTATATACAAGGCTGCTAAAAAGCATTAAACAATGTCAATGGCTCCCTCGGCAGTTGCGATTTCAACGTCATAATTATTATAGTCATACGCAGCGCGGCACTTCACCCGCGAAAGGCAAACTTCACCCCTCTTCACTTCACCCCTCAAAGGCAAACTAAGGCCGACCGAAGGAGGGCAAAGGATGTCTTTGCTCAGATCCAGGACATTGTTTGGGAGTATCGTTCCCCTTTCTTGGCGGCTATCAGCTCGGCTAATCGGCTGTGGTATCTTATAAGTTCCATCCCCATCCCTTACGTATTTGTAAATACAAGCGGCGTGAACGAGCCATACTCAACATCCACCACTCTCCTTGAGTACAGCCGCTTCTTGTCGTTTTCATGGATGCGATAAATCTGCTGTGGTTCCTGGTCCTTGTAAGACTCGGCATTAGAGTGGCAAACCCTCACATCGAAGAATGCCGAGCTCTGGGGATCCCAGAAGCCACGTGCGCGAACGTCCAATCTTGCGTCTTGTGCTCTATTAGACCCTCTGCTGAGTTGTTCTTCAGTGATGTCTTGGAGAACTGGCTCGACCTCGACATCGGTACTCACTATACTCAAAAGATCGGCCTCGAGGTCTCTCAACTCATTATGCCGTTGGATAACAAAGCCCCCTCGTTTGCAAATCATTGCGTGGTCTACTGTGAAGCTTTCCCCACACGCACACACTGATGGAATGTCATCGAATGGCCAATCATAGCGTAATTAAACAGCATCGCGAAACTCTCTCTTGCTAAGGTTGAAACCATGTTCTTGAAGGGGAAGAACTGTGAGCCATACAGAGGAGCCTTTTTCTTGCGCTAGTTCTAGAGCTCGCTTGGTCTTCCGTGAAACAATTTGTTTTAGATTATCTGCAATCTCTGAAAGTTCTTCAGCTTTTCCATGTTTGACAGCCTGACGCCCTGACGCGATGAGGGACTCGTCCGGTAGTTGATGAGTTTGAGCCATGATATGTTCGACAAGAGAAGATGTCACCTGAATAGATGAGGCATGTTCAAATAAGTTTCCTTCGATTGTTTGTGAACTGCTGATGCAGTCCGGCCAAAGTCCCTCGAAAAGTGTTGTGATGCGCATTTGATCATATCCACATGTTAATTTGCGCAATATAAATATTAAATTATTATTATTATACTATACTTAAAAGAGTCAGTTCTTTCTAAGTTATAGTCATTAATGCAAAGAGAAAAATTCTGAAAAGATTGAAGTTTATGGGTACTACCAAACAAGACAAATTTGCATTTTCTTTCATTAAGGGTAAGGAGATTTTCAAAAAACCACTTGCTAATAAAATGTAGATCGGCATTTAGCCGGACCTCAAGGGTAGCAGCATCCTTCGCTGAAACATAAATAACGGTATCGTCAGCATATAACGTTAAGTCACATTCACGTAAACAAGATGGTAAATCATTAACATAAATAAGAAACAACAAAGGTCCGAGGATGCTTCCTTGCGGAACACCAACAGGTACCGACTTACTAGAGGAATGAACATTTCCAACAGCTGTAACTTGGCAACGGTTTTCCAGGTACGAATTAAACCACTCGACTGAGTGATTGGAAAACCCAATTGAGTAGAGTTTGAGAAGGAGTCGCTGATGGTCAACAGTGTCAAATGCTTTAGCCAGGTCCAGAAAGACCGCGCCGGTGATACATCTTTCATTCATATTACCTAATACAGTGTCGCAAAAGTGAGCAAGTGCGACATTAGTAGACTTCATCGGGTGGAAACCAAATTGTTTAGGAGTGAGGATGTCATTATCCATTAGGTATATTTGTAAACTTGCATATGAACACCTCTCTCAAGAGTTTTGCTGATGTTGGTCCGTAATTATTGGGGTCACCTCGATCACCAGATTTAATGTTTCTTAGAGTTATTTAGCGTAGTTCTAATTGTTCAAGCACATTGCTAAGAGATAGAATGAAGGAAAGGGAGAATGTAAATTTCGGTTATTCAGTCAACGCTCCTTGGGAGAGCACTTTTTAGTGATGGGGTGTATACCGTTGCTAAATGATGTTTCAACTCAGGTTCCAGGGCAGTTTAAAAAATGGCAGCGTCCGCAGATGAATTTTAAGAGCGAATGTTACCAACGGTCAAACATTTGGCGGCAACAGCCAAAAAGTCGATTTGGCTCATATTCTCAAGTTAGGTAGGCCTTGTGGTGAAACAAAGCACTGCATACTTCGTTTGGCTGAATATCGATTTATTTTCCAGAAAATCGATAATTGAATTTCGACCAAATGCCGCTTTTGAAGCTCAAAATTTCAGACAAATCTCGGAGCGTCACGCCACGAATTGAAAACACTTGGACCGATAAAAACTACCAAATCTTGAAAAACAACATCAGTACATATGTTGACAGCAATTTGAGCAATTCTTGACCATTTATTCACACAATCTAATTGAATTTAACCGACCTTCTAACAAGATTAAAAGTAGGTCAAAAGTAACCCGTTATTTAACTATGTGCTATACAAAATAATCGACTGAAAATCTGGATTTTGGAAGGCCAAGTGTGATTCTTTTCGTTCTCCAAAGGATTTTTTGGGGAAATGATTCAGTGCGATTTAATCAAATTTTAAAGTTGGATAAAATGAGCTGATTCGACGGTGCCGTCAGTTGTTCGAAAATGTTCACATTCACACACAAACTCAATTGCTTCGCATTTTACATCCAATCTACAGCTTATTTAACATAATATCATCTTACCGTCCATATTGCTGTATCACAAAAGGGGATTGCAGTCCTAAAATTGAACGT